ATCCTCCAGAAGGAAACAAAAAAACAAACGTAGCTGGGCATGGCGATATGCATCTGTAGTCCCAGCCACTCCAGGGACGGAGGCAGGAGGATCGCTTGAGTCCAGGAGGTGGAGGGAGGCCGCAGTGAACTGAGAGTGGCACTCCAGCCAGTGTGACAGAGCAAGACTCTGTTGCAAATAAAAAAATATCGTGGTAAAATACGTCTAACATATCATTTGCCATCTTAACTGTTTTGTAAGTATGCAGTTCTGTAGTGTTAAGTGCATTTACATTGTTGTACAACCAACCTCCCGGACTCTTCAAACTTTACCTCTGTGCCCATTGAATTCCCTACTCCTCCCTCCCGCCAGCCTCTGACAACCGCTGTTGCATTTTCTGTCTCTGTGAATTTGACTACTACCTCTTCTACGTGGAATCAGACGGCATTTGTTTTCTTTATTCTGGCTTATTTCACTTAGCATGCTTTCAAGGTTCATCCGTGTTATAGCATCCTTTTCTCTCTTTTTTTGAGACGAAGTCTCGCTCTATCACCCAGGCTGGAGTGCAGTGGCACAATATTGGCTCATGCAACCTCCACCTCCTGGGTTCAGGTGATTCTCCTGCTCCAGCCTCGTGAGTAGCTGGGATTACAGGTGTGTGTCACCGTGTTGGTCAGGCTGGTCTCGCACTTCTGATCTTGTGGTCCGCCCACTCCGACCTCCCAAAGTACTGGGATCACAGGCCTGAGCCACCGCGCCCGGCCCTTTTCTCTCTTTTAGAGATCCTAGTTCGCATTTGGCAGGTGAGATCTTAGAAAAAAGTCCTTTTAATTTATTTCTCATGGAGACCCACAGAAAGTTTAGCTGGTGAATACAGGTGTGGGTCTCGGCAGAACCTCCCAGGGTCTCGTTTTATAATGCAGCTGTTTCTCACAAGGGTTAAGGCTCCTGAGTGTAGAAACAACACATGCTGGATCACATCATCTTCCTGAGAGTCACCCTCAGGCTGTCGGACCTTGTTGACTCAAGGGATCCCCTTGGGAGCTGGAGGTAGTGCAGCCCAGAGTGCGGGGTCCAGGGAATGACTGAGGGCTGGGTCTCTGGCAGCCGCTGGCTGTGCTGTTCAGGATGGTATTGCTCACCTCTTTGGATCTGCAGGCTCAGCGGTGGTCTTAACGATCAGCCGAATCGATGTTCTTAAATGCCAGGTCGCACTGTGTCTTGCTGGCCAGCAAGGTCCTCTTAACCTGTTGGTCTGCTTTCTTTGTTACAGAGTTGGTCTGGCTTATACTGCTGAAGGTCATGGGATTTTTGTTAGCATATTATTGAAATGAGACATTTGTGGCACCAGCGTTGTATTGTTTCTGCTCAGATGAGCCCGCGTATCTTTCACATATGGTTAGTCTGATTGCTTTTTCTAGCCTGGGACTTTGCCTTGGAGAGAGTCCTAGCAAAATACCATTCACAGCCTTCTTCCATGGGGAAGGATGACTAAGAGTTTAGTACTGGAAGAGCCGAAGAGGAAAGCTGGAAGGTTAGAAACGAAATCGGAGCTGTTGATGTGCGTGTCTCTATGGTACAGTGGGCAAGCCCTGGTCTTGTCTTGGGTTGATCACTAACTAGTCATGCAGTGCCTTGGGCAAGTCCTTTTGCCACTCAGGACCTCTGACTGTCTCCCTATAGAACGGGGAAGGTGGTCAGGCGCAGTGCCTCATATTACCAGGGCTTTGGGAGGCCGAGGCGAGTGGATCACTGGGAGGCTAGGAGTTTGAGACCAGCCTCAGCAACAGAGCAAGACCCCATCTCAATTTTTTAAAATAATAAAAAGAATGGGTGGATCAGGCATGGTGGCTCACCCCTATAATCCCAGCACTTTGGGAGGCCGAGGCGAGTGGATTGCTTGAGGTCAGGAGTTTGAGACCAGCCTGGCCATTGAAATCAGTTAGTGAAATCCCATCTCTACTAAAAATACAAAAATTAGCCCAGTTTGCTGGCAGGTGCCCGTAATCTCAGCTACCTGGGTGGTTGAGGCAGGAGAATCACTCGAACCCTGGGAGGTAGAGGTTGCAGTGAGCTGAGATCATGCCACTGCACTCCAGCCTGGGCTACCAAGCGAGACTCTGTCAAAAAAAAAAAGAAGGTGATTTCTGTCCTGCCCAACCTACAGAATTAGAGGATTCCATGGAAAAGTGTTGATGACTAGGCTCAGTGAATGTTAACTTGATCCTAGGGTCAAGCAATGCAAATGCCATTTTAAGGTGATTAAGACCCACTCAGGATTAAGAAGGGGTCCTCATGGTCATTTCTCATGGCAGTGACATTTACATGGCTGGGTATGGAGAGCACCCCATTCTTCCCCTGCACCCCCCATTCCCACCCTCTCCGCTCTTGAGCTGCCTAGGGATGAGTGGTTTGCAACTCCTCCCACAAAGACTTCTATCACTGGTTTTGTCTCTGAATTACTGTGGTGAATAGACATTTCTAAGTAATTTCGTGTACTATGTGTGGTTTTAACCAACTTTGAGCTTTAAAGGTCAATCATCCAGGGACGTGATGGGGGAAAATCAAACTTGCTGCCTTCCCAACCTGCAGCCACTGGAGACATACCCATGAGTTTGTCTCTAGGCATCGCTGGTCTCATTAGATAGAGCCATAGGAGTTTGGAGCCAGGTAAGTTTGACAGCAGGTTCTTAGAGGTCATAAAATAGGGTTTTTAATTTTCCTTTTAAGTCTTTCTCAACACCAAGCACAATTCTCAACAGGGGCTTAATAAATCCTTGGATCTTCTAATAGTTAGAAGATATCATTTTGAGGAACCAGCCAAAAGAATCCTGTAGATATGGGGCCAAGGAGCTTGAAAGCTTTGCAGTTAGCATGGCAGGAACTGACTTACCTTGAGCTGGAAAGAGACCACATGTGAATTCATTAGTTACAACAGGGCCCAGGAAAGAGAAGGTGGTGGCCGGTCCAAGTCTCTCTGCTCTACTAGAGTACAGATAAGTTCCACAGCAACACGGATTGACTATAGAGGACTCTTAAAACATCACTGATCAGTGATTTAAGTACATTGAAAGGATGTTGTAAGAATCTTTAGGTAGATGTCTATCATACAGAGAATTTTCCATATCTAAACCACTGGATTTATCCGACCTTCATTCCCCATATTGCTCCATCCCTGGTGTCTACTCAGTTTTCAGCCAAATCAAGGTCGGGATAAAGAAGAGATTTGGATGGAAGTAAGGTGGATATTCAGGCTCCTGCAGTAATACTCAGTTATTGAATTCTCTAGAAACACCAACTCTGCTACAATGAAGTCCTCAGTTTTTAAATATCTTTACAAATCAGGTGATTCCGTATTGGCAACAGCCAGCTTGCTGTTTCCTGCTTTGTTATAAAAATCAGATGGTAAAATCCTGAGAGCTTGCTTAGATTGTTAAAAGATCTTAAGTATTTTAATGCACATTATTCTTCATGCAACTCTGAACTTTAAATGCCCCGAAACAGAGTAAGATGGGAATCCAATGGAAGAGCAATCAGCTGATGTCATCATCCTGAGACTCCAGTCTGGTCTGCTGTTACCCTGGGTAGCTCCTGGCCATTCTGTGGTCACAACTGCCAGGCTGAGAGTCAGGGCTGCAGGAAATACCATAGCTGAGATGCGTGATTCTCATTTAATTTTAGTATAGTGGATCCAAAACAAAATAAAACAAAAAGGTTCATTAACATCAAGGTTTGTAGTGTGTATTTTCTAGCACATTTGACATGATTGTGATGTGTGATCGATCGTATTTTTGTGCCCTAGCTAATTTCTTCTTCATCTGTACTCCTCCTCATCATGTAATGTGTCCCTGTACCTGCTGTACTATTTGTACCTCCGGTAATGAGATTCCAGTGGGCAGAATGTGTCACGGCATTTCTGCTTGCGAACAGTATTGCTGTCCTAGATAACCAGAGACCCCGGTTGACTGGTAAAACATTTACCATATCGTTCTTCAGATTCCACTGTGTGTATGTGTGTGTGTGTGTGTGTGTGTGTGTGTGTGTGTGTGTGTATGTGGCGTGTTTCTGCTTCTGCCAAACTTACAAATATATTACTTGAACCTATGTTTCTCATATTGAAGGTGATTGATAATGCATTAACCAACACGATTTGCCATGTACTGTTTTGGTGATAGTAATTTATACTGCCTCTTGGGCTGGATGTAGTAACATTTTTGAGTAAGGACTTTCTAACATTAATCTAAACCAATCTTTCATTTAGAATGTAACCTACTTGTCACTCTAAGGACATTTTACTAAGACTGGCTTGGTTATAAAGCTTTCTACTAGATGTCTTAAAATAGTGGAAACGCTCATCTATAAATGCAGTAAGTGTCTTCGTCATATATTGATCTTTCCTGTTTTCTTGTCTCTCCTGTTACCACAGTGTAGGTGGTAACATATCTGCAAAATGTTTTATAGGGTATGGAGTGCAACATTTTAAGCCAAGAAATTGAAAACAGGATACGAAACAAGAGAACAGGGGGAAGGAGGAAGTCGATCAAGGTCATCTCCGTATATTAAGGATTTAGTGGTAGAAATGCCAAGAAAGGCAAGTTTGCGTTTGTAGCAGGCAGATGGCACAAGATAGTGTTGGAAAACCCGCTTGGTCTCAGAAAACGTAATCAGGAGTTCTTTGCCGTATGCGTTCGTGAAATTATGAGCAGGTTAGCAAATATTAAGTTACACGCTATGCCATTAAACCATGTGAATTTGCCATTTTGTGTATCTGTCGGTGATTTCAATGCCCAAGTGTGAGCAGGGTCAAGATGATAAGCAGAATACTCGCACGGATAGCGTCTGCACTGTGAAATATGAAACCTGTTTACAATAAAGCAAACCTCATGGTTTTCGAAGATGCGTTTTCAGAGGGTGTCAATAACACATACTTGGGGAAAGGTTTTGAGGGAAGTGTGGGGAGGGGTTGCAGGTGTGTGAGTGCAGATGAACTTGGCCTTATGCTAGTTTCTCTTCTCTTTCAGCACATCAGGTCCACCCATCTGGCCGGGCAGTACCTTCTTCAAGAGAAACGGAGCCCTTCTCCAAGGTAAGTCCTCAGCAACACCCCTTCCTCTCCCCCAACCCGCCCCCACCCCCACCCCCTTTCACCACTCCTTTGTGCTTGGTGTCAAATAGGAGAGTGCTTTCCCGTTTAGGAGTAGCCGCTCTGTGGAGAAGTGTGACGGTTGTGGGCTGGGTCTGTTTGTCCAGTTCTCTTTATTTCTCACTACTCATGTCTCTTGGTGGCTGTGAATCATGAGTCTGAAACCAGGCCTCTAAAGATTGCTTCTTTGGCTCGCCGTCACTGGTCATATTCTGGAAGTGTTCGGCTTGCTCTGGTAACATTGGAATTACGTTGTAATTAGAACGCGACAGGAACACAAACTAGGCTGATAAAAGCAAACCACTTTACATGCTTCAAAAACTTGAGCTGAATAAGGAGGTTTTGGGTATTCTGGCACTTTTGTCGTCATGGAGGTTCATGTATTTCTTGCTGTTCCCTGACGTCCACATGTACCTGGAAGGTTGGCTGTGGTTTGTTCTGAGATTCGGAGTCCAGTCGCCCTACGTTGGTCCCCACAAGTGTCATCTGCAGGGGACCCCCTCGCTGTTGTCCAGCCCAACTCAGCTGCCTCGTGCTAGCCGCTATCCAGTGTGCTCACGGAATTCCAGCGACCTTTCATCTCTGCTTTTGCCATTAAGTTTCTTCTGAAATGACCAAAGTTAAGGAGGAATAAATGATTTTAAAAATAGCAGAAGGGTGCGTTTTTAATACTTTTAGAAGTGACTGTGTGGTTATCGCTATTTTGGATATCTGTTCTATAAATAAAATGGAACTGAATGGTTCCCAGGGGCCTAGGAGCTTTCTATCCCTCCTACTTGTGTTGATTGGCTAGGAGTCAGACAGGCCCTGCTGGCCAAAAGCAGGTGGATTTGGCTGTGCTAAGAGCTTTTGAACTACACTGGGCTTATGGTGAGAGATTTTAATGTCTGTTGGTTGGTTGAGAGCTATGTAGCCTCTTTCCCTTAAGAGTACAGGCTGACAGCTGGCCATATGTGTGAAGGAGTAGAATATAAGTGTGGTTAGGAAGAGAGACATGTGTCTTCAGGTTTCTGTAGTAGCCCAAATCCTCGTGAGAGACGTCATCACATTTTAGTGCTGATTTACAGGCCACACAATCGAATATTGCCATTTTAATAGCCGGTGAAATTGGGAACTCAAACATTTCTTTGTACTTGTGCTTGGTACAGGTGAAATGTAGTCAGGCAACTTTGATTAATTCTAATTTTCATAATCGTCATAGATATCCTAAATGTTTAAGAAAACAAAAGGAAGTCCCTCCACTCTCAAAAATTAACACATAATTTGAAAAAATCTGTTCTGTTTTCAGATAGTAGAAGTGGAAACTGATTAGGATCAGCCTTTGGGTTCTTTTCGAGTGAGCTTCAAAGTTACATGTGTCATTTTTCCTTTAGAACTATAGCACTGATATGAATATCATTCGGTTTGGATTATTTTGAGAAAAGAGATTTGTTTTCTTACAGCCTTTTCTCAGGATTTTTATTCATTCACTTTGACATTAGGTAAGATTTGCTCTAAGCATATTAGTTTTTTTATTTGTTTCTGTGGGGCAAAAACATGAGGGAAATACCAATATTGATAATGTTTCTGAAGTTGAAAGATGTGTGAGATTCTATCTCATGGGTGTCGACATCTTTTCTCTTCCTGATAGGGTTACAAATTCCCCTGATTGCTCTAGGCACTGTGAATTAAACTGGTACAGATTTCAGATGCTTTTTGAGTCCACATCCAGTTAAATGTAACCCATTAAAATTTTGTGCATTTGAAAATCAGAAGAATCTTGGTGTGAGCTCAGGAGGGTGGGCAGGGATTTGTTAACATTCATTTTTTTCTGTGATGTTTCTTCATTCCCTATGTCTGTATAGAGTTCTGGAGACACTTTTGCTGTGATAATATTTTTGGGAATATATGGGTATTCTTCCTAATTAATACTTTCGTGTTCCTCTGATGGGTGGTACTGAGCCATGGGAAAGTTGCTAATGCCCACAGGCAAGAGTTTTACGATTAAAGATATGAGTCCCTAAAGAAGGGACTGTCTAGTCATGCCAGGGGAAGGTTTGGGTCAGAATCAAGTAGAAGAAAATGTACCTGTTCAATGCCATTTTCTCAGCTTTATGATTTCTTACTTCCTATTTTCAAAAAACATACACACATCCTTTCCTTTTCCCTGTAACAAGTGGGAGGAAGTTTTTCTAGATAATCAGACCAGTAGGGAACTCTGTTAGTAGGTTCCAACCACAGGCATTGGAGTTGAGGGTAATCAGAACTAGGAGCCTGTCCCTAAAGATGCCAGTTCCTAGCTCTGGGGGAGAAGGTACAGTTTGGTCACATGGAGGTGACACAGGAGTCTTTCTTGAGGGTGCTGTGGTACTAGTGACTGGCCAGCAGAAGCCAGCCGGAGTCATGAGTCACGAGTTATGGATCGCAAGCAGGACTGGCAGAATTGAACCAGGGTGAGAGATAAATTGCTTCGTGGAGTGCTTCGTTGTTGTTGAGACAGAATCTCGCTCTGTTGCCTAGGCTGCAGTGCAGTGGTACCATCTCCCCAGGACTGAGACTCAATAATGCAGGATAGGAAAATAAATTGGATGGAAAGGAAGATGGTTTGGCTGTGTCCCCACCCCAATCTCACCTTGAATTCTAGCTCCCATAATTCCCATGTGTTGTGGGAGGAGCCTGATGGGAGATAATTGAATGATGGGGGTATTTTCTCCCATCCTGTTCTCATGGTAGTGAATAAGTCTCATGGGATCTGATGGTTTTATAAGGGGTTTCTCCTTTTGCTTGGCTTCCATTCTCCCTTGTCAGCTGCCATGTAAGACGTGTCTTTTGCCTTCCACCATGATTGTGAGGCCTTCTCAGCTACGTGGAACTGTGAGTCCATTAAACCTCTTTTTCTTTGTAAATTACCCAGTCTTGGGATGTCTTTATCAGCAGTGTGAAAATGGACTAATACAGTGGGGGTGCCCTGTCATGTAGAAGAGGGAGACCTGTTTTTGTCAGGAGCAGAGGGGCTGTCACTTCTTGGGAGAACTGACACTTAAGCAAAGGCCTTAGAAAAGCAGGTAGATATGGGTGTGTGGAAATAGAAAAAAAAGAGTCGTTGCAAGAAAGAGAAACAACCAGAGAACTTAGTGTCACAGAGAGCATAGCAACAGTGTGGAACGTGAGTACTTCATTGACACCTTTGGATAGTGACGGGAAAAATCATGCAGTGTCGGAAGAGGAAATAATGAAAGTGAAAACCTGAAATGAAGCTGAAATCAAAACGACATGATAGTTACAAGCAGGACACCAGTTTTCATTGTCGAGTCATTGTTTGGTTCAGAGTGGAAACTTAGTACCTTTATTTTTCCCAGCACAAAACCAATTGCAAGAACTAACTGGTTGTTCTCGAGGTCCTTCTTGGACATCGGGTGCAGTGCCTGTATTTTGGTTCAGAATCACTGGCAAGAGGGGCTGCTGAATCACCTCTCGGTTTCGAGGATAATGGGGTAAGATTTGGTTTGGATTACACCAGGCATGGGCACTTAACATAATTGGTCATTTCATCAGTTCACAGTCTTTATTTTAAATGCCGTTTAGGCTGCTACAGACAGTTTCAGCAGGCTAGAGAGCACTTCAGTTCTTGTACAATGGAAACCAGCAGAGCGTTAGTAGGGGACAAGCTCATTGTTCAAAGGGGACCCAGGGCGTGCTGAACAGAAGAGTGGCTTATTCAGAGCCCTGCAGGCGTGGCCAGCTGACAGGTGTCCCCGCTGTCCCTAATAGTTGTGTCTGTGCATCTCTGTGTTATGGTCTCTATGTGTTTGAAATGTGTTTTTTATTTTATTCATTTAATTCATTTGCTAATCTCTCTTATTTTGTTAATGAAAAGGATAAAGCCTTTTTTATATTTTCCCATTTCCAAACTCCCTGTCCGCCTCCCCTAGATCCCATTTACCCATCACACTTAAAATTAGGTTACTTTATGTAAACATCACCCTCGGATGATTTGTTGTAATGAGTCAGTGATTTATAATGAAAGACATTCCTTGCCCCTGGTCTGACCCTTCATTTGGTCTCTGACGGTTTCATCCCGGAACGACACAGGCACCTCTGCTTTTGTTAGCTTCGTACCTTCTGCTGAAAGTTGCCACAAGCCATGCTGATTGTATTCCCCACTTCTGCCCTCTTGGCCTTTGTAGGCCCTGTTGGCCTCAGAGCTCCCCACGGAGTTTTGTTTTTGTTCAGACAGGAGCTGCTGCCTGGCCATTTTGGCCTGCTTTTATTTCTAGCTCTTCCTCTGAGCAGGCATTTGCTGAACCTACCCTTCCCACCCCACCTGCAAGCATTTCTTTGTGATACATCGATGTGTGCCCAGCCCTGGGCTAGGCTGGAGATCCCCAGGGGAAGCCCAGGCCCCACCCTCTCAACTGCTCACAGCCCATTCTGTGGTCAGACCAGTAGTCCTAGCCCTTCTTGGAAAAGGCTGCTTGGCCCACCCACTCCAAGAAGCCCAGCCACCATCAGCACCGATGAAGCCACTGGTTTACCAAACCTTCCCACTGACTCACTTGACACTCTTACACCCCTCTGGTCATTCTTCTCTCTTTTCTCCATCACTCTAGTATTAGGCCACTACAGGTATTGATCGACTTACGACCTATGCAACTTACGACCATTCAACTTTACGACCACAATCGCTAGCCACGACTGCTCTGCACCTGGCAGCGCAAACGTTGCCCAGCTGGGCGTACGACAGTGCGGACCAGCTTCCGGCAGCACTACCATCTCCGCGTGCATATAGCCTACTCAACTTACGACCAAATCGTGTTACAACCGGTCTGTCAGAACCAATCATGGTCGTAAGTCGAGCGCTAGCTGTAATTATGATCAACTAAGTGTCCCTAGGTAACAGCGGTAGAATTAAAATAAATTATCTAACAGATTTTATTTCTATTCACGTCTGTTTTTTTGGTTTT